TTTATTGAAGTTACTAACAGTTTATTCATGATGTAGCAATTTAAAGGAGCGCATGGAAAGTGAGTAATTAATTAATTTAACTAGTTATTTTATTTTATATTGCTAGTATCATGATTAGGGTTATTATGCTTTGATTTGACTAACGTTATTATGGTTAAATTTCTTCCAATGTTAATGTTATTTTATTATTGTAATAATCACCATATTGCATGTTTAAAGGAAATATGTAATTGAACATAACGCCTAATAAGATAATTTGGACGACTGGCTTAGGTTCCTTTTTAATCTTGTTGTTTAATCAAGTAATCACGATATTTTAGATTTATGTGTTGCATTAACATTCAACCAATTTAGCCTAATACTAGTTTAAAGCAAAATGAATCTTTGTTTACATGCCTTTGAGATTGTAGAAATAATTTTCACAATAAGAATCGAGTAGAGGCCAATACGGGCGAATGTGACTCCATGACTCACTTCGTACCATCATCCTCGATCCTCTTTTCGTGGTTCCGAACCATATGGAGTTAGTAATCTCATGGATTATGAATGGGGTGTAACCTTCACTGGTCAATCGTTGTTGCCTATCATTGTCCCTTTTCGTGGTTGCCTTTTAATGATCCGTGAACGGTTTACAAGTTCCTTAAAAACTTGTTGGCAGCTCCCTACTTTAATTTGTTTGTCGCTAGTCGTTGTCCCTAATCGTATATGTCAATTCCCACTTCCTATGAGTGTCAAGCATATTCACAACATGCTTTACGTAGGCGCGCTTCGAATGATGCCTACAATCACCAACAATCATCATCAATACCCTCTCTAATATTTTCTCTCTCTCTCTTAATTCTTCATGTTCTTAGCCTACCCTAAACACATCCTTGATATCCTCCCAAATCAAACACCATACCTCATCCACAAGATTTGACTAATCCTAGCCATCCTCGACGTTGCCTTTGACCTCGACGTGAAAGGTTTATAGTTTTGAGGGTTTGGTCCCAAATCTCTATTTCAGTTATTATTTGATTTATTTACTATGTTGATTTTAATCTTTGCTGAAGTTACTAACATATTTATTGATTTAATAGCAAGAAGGGAGGAGCATCAACGTGAGTAATTCGATCGCCCTTATTATTATTATGATTTCTAGAAATCATGTTTAGAATATTATTTTAATTTTTTGTATCATGTTAGGATGTTGGTTTTGATTTCTAGTATCATGTTTAGGGTAATGTTTTGATTATGATTTTTATTAGTGACAAGTTAGGATTTGTTATTAATATGTTTAGTACCATGTCTAGGATCTTACTAATGATGTTTTGATGATTGTGATTATGATGATGTTTGTTGTGTCAATTGTACATTGCTTGATTATTCATTATTGATTGTTATTGTTTGATCACGCCCCTTCTTGCAGATTTAAAGGGGATTTGTACTTGAAATCACGCCTAATAAGATAATTAATAATTTGATTTGAGGCTTAATATGATTTTAATTCAAGTGATCACCAACAATAGATTTGATTGTGCATTAATAATCAACCAACGTAGATTAAACAAGTTTAGGGCTAACTTGATGTATGTATGTTAATCGAAAATCGCACATGAATATCATAAGAATTAAGTAGAGGCCGATTTAGGGTGGGTTCAATCTCTTTTAGGTTGGATTCGTACCATCATCCCCGAACATCCAGTCATGGTTCCGGACCACTATGGAGTTAGCGATCTCCATGATCGTGAATGAGGTGTAACCTTCGCACCCGTGAACGGTTTACAAGTTCCTAAAACTTATTGGCGACTCTTCTATCTCTAGCTTCCTTCCCTTAGAGCGCCGCCAAGCCTAAAAGCATGAATACAATGGGGCTCAAAAGGTTGAGTTTGAAAAATTCCCTACAATAACCAAATCTAAAATGTAAATAACGTAAAGTGTAAGAGGTTATGCACCAAAACTCTTGGAACGTATACACCAGGTGTATGAATGAACATATGGGAGGTGTTATGGGATTTTATATTGAACCATGTCTTCTACTGGGGGTACAAAACGCTGTACTTTCCTTTTTATTATGCATAGGGACATCCGTCACTTTAATTATAAGTGGCCAGTTTGATACTAGCACGATTAGCTCCTGCTGCTAGTCCCCTTTTATGGGGCTGTTGAGCAGGGGAAACTCATTCGATGCATAATCGAAATAAATAAATTGTTATGTCGTTGTGTCTATTGAATGTGTGGTTGATTCAAGGGCTAAAGGTAAGTTTTGATGATGATAGGATATATTAATGCTAGTGTGTTTCCTTTACGTTTATGTATTCAGCTTTGCTGATTTCGTATTGTGTATGTGTTTGGCCCTGTCTTTATCTTGGCCCTACGATGAGTAGTAGAGACAGTTTAAAGAGAAGATGCATCATATTCATGTTGGGTATTGAGCGAAGAGAGAATCATGTTTCTCTTATCTACTCGTTTATGTGATTTATCTTTAGTTATTGAATAATTATTGCTTATTGGGACTAACATTGTTGTTTCAAAATTGGTTTGGTTTTGAAAGGGTTTGCAATGGTTCCAAGTTGTAGGTTTAACTTTTTGTTTGACTTTACTTTACTTGGTTTGACTTAATTGGACTTTGAGTTCATTTTTACATGGACTTTGACTTGGTTTGAAAGCTAAGGTTTTAAAAAGTCTTCGGATGTGTGTCTTTGATAAAATACTTTAGCCGTTATCACGGTGGAAGTAATGTCTTAGTTATCTCCTATTTGTATTTTTAAAAGGGCAAAACAGGTATTTCAAAAAGAGGAAATTTCTAGGGTGTTACACATCCTCTTTTCCTTGAGTCTAAAATTGTCATTTTTACCAGTCCTTTTCCCTAAATATCTCTTTTGTCCCTTTTTGCACTCAATTTTTCCTCTTGATTTTTAAAATTGAAGATCCTTCCATCATTCTCTTTCCCTTCAGCATTCCTACGTACCCTTCCCAAGTTTACTTAGAATAGATACTACTAAGAGATTGTTAAAAGACTTTTTTTTTTTCTTCCTTATCTGAACCTTTAATACCAAGGTACCCATTTTGGATCATTAAGGATGGTCTTTGTCCTTACTAACTCAAAATGGAGGAGATCAACACATGATATGGCAAAGACTATGACATAATTTCCTCAATTCATCTATAGCTTTTGCTTGTAAGGAAATTTTTTGGACAACTTCTTTGTATGTCTATACTTTCTGATCTTCCTTAGTAATTCCATCAAGAGTATTGTGGTGATTGGGATCAGTTTCCAAGAACTTGACTCTTGCAGCAAAGACCGGAGCTCAATCTAAGAGTTCCTTTAGGCCAAAACAAAGTCGATAATTTCCAAAGGCTTTCAAATGTACTATCTTCTACACTTTCTGTGTTATTTTGCAAAGTTTTCAAAGCATGTTTTACTATACAAGTGCAACCACTTGTAGCGTGAACTAGGGTTCATTCATGGTGCCCACCATGATAAGGCTTTCACTCTTGAATCCTTGTCACCTATTTTGCAAAGTTGTGCACTTTATTTCAAAGTCTTTTAGAAATGGTTCATGATCAATCTTGATCTCTTCTTAATCTAACCTAGATAATTTTTTAGCGTGAAGGCCCTCATCTTAGTTGAGGTTCATATTGCATTATTCAAAGTTACAAATTTTATGTTTTTAAATGCATTTTCAAAGCCTTCTTCTACTCAAACAGGGAAACCATCATCAAAGGCAATCTTTTGAAGGGTGAGGACTCTTAAGGGATCTAGTGATCACCATGTATGTGTGATTATTGACCATCATCAAAAGCTTCTACTTTTTATGCTTTGCAAAGTTTGTCCAATGATGGTTAGAGATTTGAACCATTCCTCCCTCAAAACTAAGATCTTTCATGGAGTGATCTTTAAATAAGCGTCATATTCTGTATGTCATATTCACATTTTAGCACCTTCCATTATTATGTCATTATTGCTTTAATATTGCTATTTGCTATAGTTGCACTCTTAAATCTATTACTATTGCTTTGTAATTCATTAATGCAAATGATGTAATAGTAATTAAGCATCTCATGTATCTCTCTTTCTCCACATAATCTCTACTTGCAAGCATTGACCATTGCATGTACATTGGATTAAATCTGAAGTGCCCACTTTACAACTCTTTTCTCTAAAACTGTTAAAACAAACCAAGTCAATAAAGCATGTTCAATCAAATGGATGCGCTTTCAAAGTTGTATTTTGTGATCAAACACTAACTTGGTCAACAAAAGTCGTCCATTCTAGACCTGAATCTAAAAGGTTTTAAAAAGCACATGAGCTCTTATTCAAATGGAGTCAATATTGAGGTTTTCGTAATAAATATAAGAACCCCTAAAGTTGGATTATTTTATAATAATCCAAAGTTAGGTTTATTAAAAGAAAATCAACCAATCTTTTCTAAGAAAATAAAGAAACAAAGGATTTACTCCCTCCGTTCCTTAGATAATTGACACAATCAAACATGACACATATAAAATGTAATAAATAGAAGAACCCCTAAAGTTACAACTATTCTACAATAATCCAAAGTTGAGATTATTAAGAGAAAATCAACCAATTTTTTCTAAGAAAATAAAGAAACAAAGGATACACTCCCTCTGTTCCTGAATAATTGATACAGTCAATACTTGACACATATGTCAATACACTAATTTGACCTTAGATATATATGATTAAATATTAGTAAAAAAAATTAAAAAAAAAATTGACATTATGAAATTTTATATTAATACCTACTTACTCCGTTCCAATTAGTTGGAACGTTTCTTTTATCACGTTTGTCAATGCATGAATTCAACTGTATATATCTCTCATTATCAATAAATTAAAAAAAAAAGTGGATATTTTGAAAATACATATTAAGAGGATTTCAATAAAATCTCACATAATTATGTTTTTTTTTTCTTATTTATAAATCACAAAATTTAGTCAAAAGTAAAGTTTGTGAATAATGTCAAATGTCAAAACATGTCCTCTAATTTGGAATGGAGTATTTGAGTATTGGTCAAAGTTAGTATTTGAGTACCAAGCAAGCTTGGTGGAGTTAGTGGGGAAATCACTTTGTGACTTTGAGGCCACGAGTTCGAGCTTCACTTCACCTTAAAAAAAAATTATTAAGTAAAAATAATTTCAATTCAGTAAAAATAAGTTTAGTTTAGTAAAATTAATAAACGGGGCCTAAATGGGTTGATATGAAAGAGAAAAATAATAAAATAGGTGTATGTCGTTACCAAATAAAGAAGTGTTGCAATTATTATGAAAGAATTAAAAGAAAAGTGTTGCGATAATTACGAAAATAATTGAGGAATGGGGACCGGGGAACTATAACAACACTCAAAACAGAATGAAAGTTTGTTAGCTGGGGGGCTCCAAGCCAAGTTTCCAACAAAATTAAAAAAAAAAAAACCAACAACCGTTTTTAACAGCCCTGAATGAAGCTGCCTCCCAAAGAGAGAGAAACCAACACTTTTGCTTCTTGCTTCCACCGGACTTTGGGGTTTCAATTTTTGTGGGTATTCTTTTGAAATTTGTAAAACCCTCAAAAGTTTAAGTTTTTTGGGGTTTTGAATTCTGATCGACTGAAACAAAGAGGGAAAAAATAAAATCAAAATAAACCGATGGGTTCTGAAGAAACAGTTGATAATCTGGGTTACTCGTTGTTGAAAGATCTAAGCTTTGAAATTGGTGAAAATGAGACTTGTTTTAATCTCTGTTTCTGGGTTTTTCTTCTCAGTTCTACTCCTTTTCCTTCCACAATTCTTTACCAGGTGAAATTATGCAACTTTTGTAGCTTATTCTTGTTATTTTTGGGGCATTTTGATTTATATTTTGCTCTTGATTGTAATAATGGTGAACGATTTTATGATTAATCTTTATATGTATATGCATAATCCTCATTTTAGGTGTTATTGGACAATTTAGTTTACTCTTTAATAGTTTAATTTTGTGGGTATTTCTAACTTTATTGTTGTGATTAAATAAATTAATGCAAATTAGTTTAGTTGGTTAAAGTCGGGGTTGATCTCGGCTACATTAGTGCATTTTTTTTGGGAATTGTTATCAAAGTAGTAGTTTGTGTTTTGGATTATAATAATGATGAATATTGATGGACACAACTCGACATTGTTGATTATAATCACTAGAGGAATTGTAAATACAACATTGTTTTGCCTTGATTGTGATTTTTGGCTTGTTGTGTTGTCCATTATAATTATTTTGACTGTATCCTGTCTTTGTTAGTTATCTTGAGAAATTTGTTTATTTGCTGCTTGCTTTATTGAGGAAATCATGATGTTGTATAGGCTTACTTTATAGAATTTCACACCCTTATCACATTCCCCTCCCCGCATTGGGAGGGTTATGTCTGCAAACGTCGGGATGTACGGTTGACACCTTGGCTTAGATATGCCATGGAGGTGGTAAAACTTTTTGGTGATACATGCATTTGTACATTCAAATCTGTACTTGTTTTGATTGCTTTGCATTTGTTCATGAGCATGCCCTTTTTTTTACTTTGTAATAACCTTAATGTCATTTTGCACTATCAAAATTGCTGATCCTCTGTGTCATTTTTTTCTTTATATTTTCTCTTTTTGGCTTCTTTGCAGATTTATTTCCTTTGGACAAAAAAATTATTCGTTTATTCCTTAACGTGTGTCTATTACAGCAATGCAAATATATAGAGGGACAAGTAATATTTGCATAGGTAGATTAAAATGACAAGCAATAATGTGTTGAACTTTAAGTGATAGATAATGTGAGAATAATAAATAGAATTTGGATTTATAAATGCGGCATAGTTTTGAGAGTTCCATTACTAATGTTTTGTAATATTTTCTACACCAATAAGAAGAGGTACTTTATTGTACGACCCTAATGAGGATAGTTTGGAACTGAAAATTTGACGGTTGAGATAGTTCATTAAGTAGTTCATAAGTTTTTAGTGATCTATTTTGAGTATTTTTTAGTGATTTTGCTGTATGAACCTGCTCATTCTTACTAGTTGAAACTGATTTATGATTCATACAACTGATTCATCTGTGTTTTTTCTCTATGCAATTACTTATTTTAACTTACCCAAACTAATTTGGACTGTAAAAACTGATTCTTTTCAAGTAAAATCAATTTTTTAACTGAAGACAACAAGAGTTAGTTTTATGTGTTCATTCTTCCTGAGAAAGAAGGATATCATTCTCTAAGTACAAAAGGTTTCTCCACGACTAGGTAGAACTTCACAGTGCTGGTTATTCCAATGTTAAGGATTTCACGGTGCTTCTGTTCATGTCTTGTCTTCAATGGAGTTGTGGTAGACAATAACACTGACTGAAGCAATTTGCTTTTCATGTGCAGTTGCACTCTGAAATATCTTTTCTATCTTTGAGTGAAGACAAAAGGTTAATACTCTCTCCTTCACTTTTGTTGCGAAAAGAGTCTTCCGAGTCAGGGGAAATTGCATCATCCACTGAAGTTGCTATTTCTAACGTGGAGCTTCCTCTAGGACAATGGGTACATATTGGATGCCAGGTGTGTGACAAATCATAAATTACCTACTAGTAAACTGCTAATTTGGGTTCCAAGTCTTTTTTTCAGTTTAATGCTGTTGCCTATACTATTTCTTCTTATCTCGTGATCTTGTTGTTAGACTATAATGTGCTGCCTGAGCTCCTCTGTGTAAAATGTTTTGATAATGTCAGGCAATTGTTGTAGGCAAGGGGAGAAGTTACTTAGATGTAGCTTCGACTTTTTGTTTGATGCAAATTTCTCTCTTTTGAGATTTATAAATGTGATGTCTAGCTTTTAGAAGATCTAAATTCTTGAAATGATTTAGTATTCCTTGCCTATATTCTGGTGATTTGGCAGTTTGTTTGGTCGTATGATTCCTGTACATAGTTTGATGGTTTGGTTAATAGATCGGGCTTCCTTTTATCACTCATTCATATACAATAGACACATTGATTTGGATTTGTTTTATGTCTTCTTTGTGTCTGACCACTTCAAATGATATGTGATTTCCAGCTAATATTCTTGTTTTCTTTGTCTCCAACCTTAGGTGTATAGCAGCATTATACGCATTTATCTTGGAGGAAAGGTAGTGGGTGAAAGGCCTTTAGATTCATTAATGGCCAGGCAGGCTGATCTTCAGAGTTTCATGAAGATCAAAGGATTTAAGGATCTTGATGGCTATGTATACAATGCAGTTGTTTTTCCTTCTACAAATTCTATTGAGGACCATCATGCTAAGGTTTATATCTTTATATTTGCATTTATTATGAGTCCAAGACTTACATAAAACTTATTTATCAAGTTCACATGCTGCAGGATCCTCCTTTGTGTCTATGTATTGATAGCTCATCTGTTTCTGATGTCGAATTGGAAGGTGACGGCATATGGAAAATATTTGGCGGCAAGGTTGACTAACATCCTTTTTGATTTCCTCTTTTGGTTATTGTACTCGTTTGAGTTTATTCTCTATGACTCTGCGTTATTTTTTAATTTTGCTTTTGACGGGGAATGGGATGTTGTGGTAAGATGGGGCTCTTTCATTACTTGTTAGTCCCCTATTCCTTGCACGTCGAAACAAAGATAATGTTCTTTGCAATGTTGTAAAACCTACATTAGGTTGTAAGTGGTGATGTTTGTGTGCACCAAATTACTTATGTAATGAAAAGAGTTTGTTTTTGATAGAACATGATCATATTAATGTATGCAAGTGTAGAGTGCACACACTTGGACTTGCAATTGCAAATTCAAATAGTAAAATGAAGAATGAAATTGAGGACACTTATAACAAAAAAAAAAAAAAAAATCTACAAAAAAAAAAGAAGAATCATGTTGCTATATTAGTGTGCGTAAGTAGACAAATAAGTAAAAGAGTATATAGCTCCAGTAAACCAAGAAAGGTCTTTTTTCCCTCTCCTCTTACTTGAGTAATTTTCATTGATAATATCTACTATGAAAGCCATATTTTTAATCCAAAGAAGCAAGCTTCTTTCCCATTTTTGTGCAGGATAGCTTCATCACTTGACACCTTGGCAGTTAGTAAAAAGAGGTTTGACATGATGAGATTATTTGCATGCAGTTCTTTGTCATCTTCTCCTTAATCGATGAAACTGTCTGTCTGTTGTTCTGGATCTTCTATATTTCACCATCATAAAGTCCTATAGAGTATAACACAATGTTACCTTGTTCGTGGCTTGGCTTCTTGTATTACTAACTAGTTTACATGCTCCAAGTCACAGTTTGTTCGTGACCTGGGTTATGCTGGGGGCACAATTTTGTTAGGGAAGCCCAGCACCATATTGCTGATGTCCCTCCGTCCTCTGTCCACACTACCTTTGATAAATCTTTGTATTAGAAACACCGAAATATATGGATAGTAGGAACTATCAGTTGGGATATGCTATATCTGCATACTAATGCAGTAATGCATTAATTGAAGTATATTACTCAGATTTCGTATGTTGGATATAAACATATAACCGAGTCTAGAAGCAGGTTTGCTGAATTTAAATGACATTTCCAGGTGTTTTTTTTTGGGTGGAGGGGGGGGGGACAGACGTTCGTTATAATTGATACAAAGGATTAGTATTTTGTAGTCTATTTTTAAGATGACTAGAAATAATAGACATTCATTTAATCATTTATCAGCATGCACACACGCATTCATGCATGTTGTACTTATACTTGTATGTAAATATACATATGTATTCACACATGTTTGTTTAGTTTTACAAAGCGTGCCTAGGCGCGCTTGAGTGCTACGCGATGCAAAGAGCCAGCAAAAACGCCTCTCAGCAATAAAGCGCCGAGGGGTCCAAGAAGCGTGTGCTTTTGCTTCGCATTTTTTCAAAGCACTAAGCGCTAAAAGCGACGCTTTATATCCCAGCATGTTTGTTTATATGCATGTATGTCTATACCATCTCATACATGTAAACATATACATGATTATGTGTCCGTGGAGGACCCAGCCTCCTAATTGGTCTGAGATAGCATTCTGCGGCTCTGTGCTCCTTTACCTTATTGTATATCAAATCGTGTACATGGTGGCATTGATTTAAGGTTCTTATGTCAGAGAGAGTGTGGTATGAGGACAGGGACAAGGAGAAAGAGAGTGGAAACGAGATGACTCTTAAATTGAATGATTTAATGATCACATTGCTTTTTATTTTGTTTCCAAACTTTTGTCCAACTTTTAATATCTACCATGTGTTATGACAGGCTTCTTGTCGCAAAATGTTTTCATCAGATGTCGTACTATTAGATGCCTTTGGTGAGCTTGTGGACAAGGATTTGGAGGTGCGTGGCTCTCTGCATTTTTGATATAATGTATTTAGTTAACAGTTTAACACCTTACATAGAAACAGAAGAAAATTTTGTGCGTGGCTCTCTGCATTTTTTATATAATGTATTTAGTTAACACCTTACATAGAAACAAAAGAAAATCTTTGCTAGTCTATTTACATCAAAAAATGTGTATATGTAAATAGGACGCCCACTTAATATATGACTCCGATTTTTTCTTTCTTCTATGAAGCACTTGGTAATTGGGAATACCATGATGGGGGCATTGTCTTTGAAGTTCCTTGTACCTCTCCCAAGATTCACACAAAGACTCTCCACCTCTTTGACGGAACCCTTGAATTTTAGAACGATTATATAAGCCCCTTTTCTATGTACAATTAGAAAAGCTCCATTTTGCATATCTTGACTTGGCATTTACATATTATAATATTTTCAGGTTGTTGCATCACTTATCTATGCTGATAATCGGGTCCCTATTGAGAAATCAAAAGGTGGTGAAGCTCCCCTTTTGACAACTTGCAATGGGCTTGAATTCCCATCTGATGATAAACCCAGCAAACTATTGCGGGGACGTGCATCTTTTCAACTGAACGTAACTCGAGTATGATATTCTGAAATATACTATCTTGCCATTTGAATATGTTGTGCATTTAAGAGTGAACTTTTGACGTTTCCAAAGTGATTTTTGTAGATTCATAACAAGGGAGTTGCTTTCTTTTTAGGCTTAATGTCTATATTCTTGTTAGGTTCTAATAAGTGCTTTAGAAGGTAGTATCACACAAAATTGAGTTTTGTGCATAATCTTTCAGACTGTTGCACTTAATCTATGTTATTCTAAAAATCTGAGAAAGATTAGACAATGAAGTTTTGATATTTGAGGTTATCATTTTCCTTGGGATAGACTTGCTACACTCTTCTGCCAAAGCCATTCCTCAGTGAATTAGTGCTCCATATAAGCAAGATATTGAATGTATCCAGTGGTAATTGCACAATGTGTGTGTGTGTGTAATATATATATATATATATATATATATATATATATTATTTTCAATCTATACATTCCACAAGGAACATCTTTTGTTGGTTTCATGTTGAGTATTTTTAATTTTTTTTTTTTTATATAATCAATTCTAGGACTGAATTCCGATCTTGATTTTTCTGTAGTTCAATTGACTGTCCTAATCTTCTCTGCAGCTGTCATCCGAATGTGATAATAAACTGTTCTGTGTTAAGTTTCATCTCCTGAAATTGGGAAAATTTCCTTTTTTCGAGGCATATACTCCACCAATCCGCAGCATCCTAAAGTCGTGCGACACCAAGGTATCTACTATCAAATGGAAAAAGTTATCATCAGGCTTTCATCTATTTAATAGATCCAGCTTACCTCAAAATGGTATTGAGCATTCAGAGCTACATCAGAAGCCTGTATGTGAAGCAATACCCAATCCTCCATTAAAGAGAAAGAAATCAGGACAAGATACTCCATTGCCACACACTAAGGTTGAGTCTACTGTGCAAAGATCTGATGAAGAAGGCAGTTCATTCAACATGTCTGCAACTAAGGTCCTTGGATTTTCCTTGCAATATATATTGTTCTTCTGAGTTTAGAATATCTTGAAGCATATTTATCAGCAAAATAATGTCTCCTGGACAATCATGATAGTTTGATCATCCCTTTCATTAACATTACTGTTGAATTTATAAGATACAAATCATACAATTCCTCTTGAGATGCTTATTTATGGTATCTATAATCTCATTTATAATGCCTCATTTTAAGGCCCATTATGTGTTATTCATACTGGTGTTTGTTATACAACACGTAACCACAAAGCTAGAGTTCTTTATACTACTAATGGTTACTCCTTTCATCCTTAATTTTTTTTTTTTTTTTGAAGAAACTCCTTTCATCCTTAATAAAAACCCTGATTCTCGCAAAATTTTTGTTTCTATATAAAAGCCCTATTTCTCATATGTGTGGGGTCTGCCATCCACTAACTTCTTTCTTTACTCTCTTATAATCAACAAAACCCATCTAATTGCGCTATAATTTTTCTCACTTCCCCTAAAAAAAATAAAATATTCTCACCACCTTTTTTTTTTAATATAATTTTAATTTACATTCCCCACTACAATTCCTCTCTTGAACCCCATGCCCAGGAGAAATTGGGGCTTTTATCTAGGGACGAAGGGAGTAATAAATCTGAATCCTACTATCATTGAAGGCTAAACTCTGCATTATGCAACTTTTCTATTGTAACATCTATATCTTACTCCTTAATTTCCAATACAATGTGCAGAATGTAGTAGGGACCAGTTTGGAGAGTATCCAAGAAAACTATGGAGAAATAGATAGCTCTGCATCAGATTCAGATAGTGCTGGCGCAAGAAATACAGAGTCAAAGAGCTTTACTTGCAACATAGAACTCACTTCAGATTTGACAATTTTCAGATATTGCCTTGGAGGATTATCTGAAAGGTCAGTCATGCTTAAGGAGTCCTCGTTATATGCTTCTGAGCATGAAATGGCAGAAATGGCTGAAAAGGTCTCATTCTTTTCTGGATGTGATCACCATAGGTAATAATTAGATTAGAGGTTTGATGAATGAAAAAGCTATCTTTGTAATCAGCCATTGGTACTTACAGTTGTCTCCATTTCCCCTTAGGCACCAAATTATGATTGCAAAAAAAACTGCTGGAGGAAGGAGAAAGAGCTTGGAATTTGATTTCACAAAATGGTCATCGAGTTCAATGGACAATGTTGTTTTTGAGATAGAAGAACAGTTCATGAGGATTGCTAGCTGCAGCACTAGATCTCTCACTCAACAGGTAACTCCTATTTTTGACATTTTTAAGCTCTTTGCTACATGTTTTTCCACCTAGCTATAGCCTCCAAATATGTACAAGGCCATATGATAAACTTATAAATATACAATATTTTTGCATACGAGATTTCACCAAGAGAATATCTGCTCATGCATCTTTACTATTATTAGAAAGATATCTGAAGATTCTGAACACCCTGTGGATGATGTCTTCTTCGGCATGAACTTTTTTTTTTAAATGCTGTGTGCTCAACATGAACTTCTTTTCTTGCTGAGGAGACATAGATCTTAAGCAGAAATTCCTACAGTATGTTCCTTAAATTTCTTGCTCCAACTAGATACACTTAAATAGCTGCTCACATCTTATCAAAAAGGAAGCCAGAAGCCATTAGTCACCAAAATGCTGCTCCAGATTAAATACAATGTGTAAATTACTAAAACTTTTAGCTGCTAATTGTCTGCTCCTTCCTAAATAAAAGCAGAATGACCGTCTCTCCAGAAACATCTGTATGTTTGTAAATTATTAATTATTAAAAGATAAGTTATAGTTTGATTTGAGTGTTTTGTTGTATAATTTTTTCTTTTTTCTTTTTTTTTTTGGCTTCTAGCCATCTAAGCAACAATTGGTTCACATAACAATAGATCACTAATTAGCATAAATTGGCATGGCAGGACTTGAATTTTCTGAGGAGAATTTCGGGAGGCAATGAGTATCTCACCAAAGATGATTTTGATAAATTGTGGCGTTGGTTGTATCCAGTGGCATTTACAATATCAAGACACGGGATCAATTCACTGTGGGCTTCTATCTCACCAAAGTGGATTGAGGGATTTGTTACAAAGGAAGAAGTGGAGTATGCCCTTCAGAGTCCGCAGGGACTTCAAGAGCCTGGAACATTCATCTTGAGATTTCCAACAACCAGAAGTTGGCCTCATCCAGATGCAGGTAGTTTAGTTGCATCCTATGTTGGCAGAGATTTCTCTTTGCACCATAGGCAGCTATCTTTGGACTACAGGTATTTCTGGTAATTTACTATCATCTATCTTCGCCATCCTCTTTTCTCTATAGATCAAAAAAAAAAAAAAAAAAACAAAAAGATCATGATTATCTCCACTTGTTGAACAGATGGCCATTTTGAATCTGTTCGATTAGTATGCTATATTCCCCTAGTCCACAGATAATTGTCAAGAGTAATATATATGAAGATGACCTTTGTCCTAAAACCGTCAGGGATATTGCTACTTAAAAGACTTCTTGGATTGATATCATCTTCTTTCTCTCTCTCTCTCTCTTTTCTTTAATATATTTGAAGATGACCTGGACTTCCAATTTTTACAGTTTTTTAATTTTTTAATGCAACAGTTCTGAAATTTTTGACACAAATCAAAAGCCACTTCAGGAGCTGCTTTTGTCTGAACCGGAGCTTTCTCGAGTAGGAAGGTATATGATCTATCACCTGACATTTATGTCTATCATATTCTCTGAGGCTAAAGTTTATCTATTATGATGATGACCTGTATGGGCATGTGTGATCCAGGATAACGAGGAGTGATTTGACCGTTTAAATTGTCACTATACTTGTGTAAATATTTTCCAGCTTTACAGACGCATTTCGTTTGGAGTAAGCCTCTTGTTCCTACTTTTACTTTCTGCATTAAACTTCTCATGTGCACTTGTGAGTTTTTGTAAAGACGAATGTTGAAATTTTGCATCGGAAAACTTTATACATGCAGTATTGTTTCTCAAGTGTAATTATTGATGATTTCTAGTAGAAAAAAAAAATTAACATACACCCCTATGGCTGAATGCTGATTGTGATTCAGCAAATTGAAATTTGAGGTTTTATTTGTGTGGCACTCCCTGCATAAGTGCATCCCATAATAAACTTCACACTTGGCATTTCAAGATGTTCCAAATTAACTTCACACTAACTTTTAAGTTAAAAGTCGATGATTTGAATACTAGGTTTTCCCTTTTCTCTCCCTTATCCATCGTATTATTCGTATCTTGCTCCCTCTGCATCCCAACAATACCTTATACTCTTTATTCCCTTTCTATCCACTACCAATGTATTGTTTCTCATGTAACAACTATATAAATGGGATGAAGGTTTTTGAAGTTAAACATCAGCTTTAGAGAATTAAATAAATAATTGGGAGTTCTATACATTAGAATGATTAGACCACATTACTTGATGTTCTTTAAAATGTCCCACCTCAGGCGTAATTATTCTAAATCTACTGTACTTAAAAAATGATCATATAATCCATGATACAATGTCTGTAATGCTTCAAGCTAAGTGTCTCGACTTTCTTTTGAGGTCAATAAAGCAATTGCAATTTTATTTGAAAGATTCCTCTCTTCTCCCCTCCCCTCTGCTCCCCTCATAAAACAAAACATAGTAATCAAAAACAAAAAATACAAGAAAACCTTTCATCAACAATGACATGATTGGCCTAACGCTTGCGGAAGCATGGAAATGGTCACATTCTTCTATGGAATTTTGGTCTGGCAGTTGGGGGGCCTGTACATAGGCTGGATCTCAGGTCAATAGGCTCTGCAGCTTGAATTTTTTTGTCTAAAGAATTATTTCAGAAATATTTGATGAATATTGGCTCTTTGTTGGTGGGGTTTGGCTTGCTGCCATTCGCCACAGTTCAACCTCTGTAGTCAGTGCATGCAGCAACAACGACTAAATCCAGGTTTTACATGCCTAAGAAAGAAACCGTGCTGATGATCAATGGACTTGGCTCTTTTAAATCGGAACATGAGAATAGACAGATTTAGGAGCAGAATCCTATACTTTTCCCTTCACCTAGCTTTGTATGTTGACTATGCTCATTTATCTCACATCTGCCATTATACATCTTTATTCAGTATATGAAATCTTCAAACTTTCTATGTTTCTAAAATGTCAAATATATCAAGTACAGCACTGTTGCTTACATAAAACCTGCCTTTCACTGGGAAATTATTCCTTTTTTATTTGTATTCTTTGCGATAAGGCCTTAGACAAGGATTTCATAATATTTGTTGTTTTTTCCCCTTCTACACGGTCATGAGTAGTCTTGTTTTCTTGAGCGGATTAGAGGATTTTGATAAACTGTGATGCGCTTCAAATTTCTAATTAGTTTGTTTTGAATCTGTCCAAGTTCATTGCTTTAGTTTTCTAACATCAGTTAATTATGTCGCAGATATGAGTTCTTAGTACAGGAATATAGGACGACTTCCATTACCCATCCAGATTTCGTGTGCTTAAACTATGAAAGCTCTATGAGTAGATGTTTCAGTGCACTTCTTTAAAGAGGCTTTCTCACATTGGTACAAAGCAAAGGGCAGATGATAAAATTAATTTACATCTGCGAAGCTAGAGCCCCAGATGAACCTGTGATTTCACTGTATAGCTCTTTTTTCTTTTCCAAGCTCAAAGTGATCTAGTTATTGCCTTGGTGAATTTGTTAGTAGAATATTTTTCGGATATTATCTGGCATTCAGATTGTTGTACGAAACCAAAAAAAAGAGCATGACATCTTTTCATGCATTATTTTTTTCAGTAATTTGATTTGTCTTGTGACTTACGATCCTCAAGTTGGGCATTCGATGAGTCCATTCAAGATTCAACCATAGTACTAGCAAATCCAACCAAAATTCCTATATTCCATATTTTCACAATTAGCCAACACACTAATTCAGAGCTTTACAGCAATTTCATAAATTTATGGGTAAATAAACATTGTTTTTCTATAAATCATGCTACTCAATTCTCTTATATCTACAAAGATGTACTTGATTTGAATCCAACAGCCTGAAGTTATACACCGCAGACTTAAACAAGCACAAGTGTACAAGCCACTTTCTCAGTTCTGAATCAGCTCAATGCATCATTTGGAGGTGTTCTTCGGTTTAAGCTTCAGTGCAGCACTGCATAATGAAATCATTGAGCACAGAATTAATTAAAGTTCATCAATACTGACTGAGTCACTGAAAGACCAAGCAAAACTAGGCATCCAATAAAGCTTTACAGTCAGAAATCGAAGATAACTTGACCTATCCTAAATAAAAATAAACCTAACCCAAAATTTAACACAACGCAGGAAAATAATTGGTTTATTAAAAGATTCCATGACCTGAAACTCATAATGAATTGAGCAACCTGACCATCTTGTTAGCCAGGTTCAGCCAGAAAGAAACAGGCTTAAACATAGATAAACCATACCTGTTGATGCAGTAACGTTTTCCTGTTGGAGGGGGACCATCATCAAACACATGTCCAAGGTGAGCATCACAAGCTGCACATAGTACTTCCTCTCGGGGCATGAAAATGATTGACAAATCCATCTTTTTCTTAACATTGTTTCCTACAGGTGCGTAATAGGATGGCCAACCAGTCCCGCTGTCAAATTTGGTAGATGATCTACACACAACAATTATACATTATAAATTTAAGAGTGATGTTATCAATCTGCAGCCAATTATATCTACAGAAACCTCATAAAGAGCAAGCACTTACTCGAACAAAGGGGTGTCACAGCATACACAATGATAAGTTCCGGGTGTTTTTGTGCTCCAGTATTCCCTGATTTAAATGAGAAAGTTAAGTTTGGTAGTTTTAAGTGTCAGCTGAAAACAGTAGTCTTATCTTCAACATGAACCTTACCCTGAAAAAGCGCGTTCAGTGCCCTTTTGACGACATATATAGAACTGCTCTGGGGTTAGGCGCTTTTTCCAGTCTTCTTCAGTTAAAGAAGAATAGTCTTTTTGACCTGTCTCTGGAAAAGAAACCCAACAAATGAAATTACTAATCAGAAATCCATGATGTAATATTTAAGCTGTGTTTAGACGAGAAAATTGAAAGCGGAGGGCTGGGGAGGGAGGCTAGGGGATCCATCTTCCCTTATTTGTATATTATAAATGGGAACAGGAATGCGAGGAGAATGGCAGGATTCCATATACCTTCGCCTTCTAATAAACCAAATCCTTGAAATGTTAGAAAGATTTGAAAGGAAAGGTCAGGCCACTCCTTCCCTCCCTCCCCTATACCTTTTCTACTTCCCTCTCTCACTCCCTTCCCTTTACTATGTAAATGCTAACCCAAAAACATGATACACAATTAATACATCAAACCCAATCATAGACAGCAGTAGAGAATAGAAAGGCATGTTAAACATAAAATGCTTATTCCATATGCCACCATACCAAGGTAGCTATAAAAGCAGTAAGACTGTAAGCAGCAGAAATAGTTAAATGAATTTTGAATAACCAAGTCCGGATTCTTATAGATATCTCTTGAAATCATGCTGCCAAGCAACATTTTGAGAAAACTCCAAAACGACTCCTAAATTAGATAATCATATAAGATTCTTATTAAAGTAAACGGCGTTATAGATAGCTACTCCAAGTTCCTTTCAGTCTCCATACCTAGTAAAATTACAGTGATGCTTAAAAGAGTTAAACTGTGTCTAGGTGTACTGGAAATAATGATTTATGCACTTTGACAGCAGTCTAAATCCATTTCTATATAAGAGTCCCTTCAAAAACATATACTTGTATGAAGCATCTTTTTTGAGTTTAAAAGTATCATTCTACATTGTCTATATTCAAAGTATTCACTTGTTCAGCTTAACTATAGCTACCAATTTTTATGTTCCAATAATACAGAAACAATAGAATCAATACTTTAAATTTTCAATACATGTGCACGATCCTGAAAAATCATCTATCAAGACATTGAAGAAGTACTCATATCTAAAAGCGCGACTAAAAGGGTATATAGCATGTAAACTCCCATAGAGTCATAGAGGTCATGTGTTCTGTATCTAAAGTGTACGATTACAAAATTACCAACTAATTGACGGATTGTACAGCAGTCTTAAGAACATAGCAATAAACCATGATCACAAAATCAATCATTCACAATTTTTTTTTGAAAAATTGAAAGAATAATCCCACATTTGCTCGATCTGCTCAAAACGAGCCGACCTTTGCAAAATCTGGGAACAGGCTTACCTTTACCCCTTATTTTCTTTAGATGGTCCTTTTTACAGGTTACCTGTTGAGAAGATTAACTTTTTTTTTTTCTTTAATCATCATTCATCTCCTCCCACTTCAGTACTTCACCACCATGACCACCAGCACCATTCACCATAACCACCACATCACCACCTAACCCCACCGCCACCTCTGAACTAAGCTGACCCCACACCCACAGCTACTGAACACAGTCCACAACCCACCACCCCTTCTCACCTGACCGCACCCCAACAAACCGAAATCCCATCCCCACCTTGAAACCCACCTCGTCGACCGGAACCCCACCTCACCCAACCCCAAAACGGCAAAACCAGTCTGTGAAGGGTAATTGAAGCTGAAGCCTAATTAAAATATATATACATCAAAAAATAACAAAAATCAAATCTTCAACTCAATCTACAACAATAACTATGCTAATCCTATTTCAAAATTTTCAGTAGTTAAAAACAATAACACAAAAGAATATTATGTTAAAAATTAAAGAACAAAATAAAAGTGGAAAGAATCAAACCTTGAAAACTGTCTGGTTTTGGAGAAGAAGCAGAAGAACCCATTGCTCGAATTGCTAATGTTTTTCCAGAAAATTTGTTTATCAAATTGGAAGTTAATAAATTGGTTGATTTTGGATGAAATCCTAATTGGGGTTTTGAAGATACTAGCGTATTAAGGTTAAAACTACTTAAACTATGAGAAGCCATTGCCAGTTTGCCACCCTCTTAAGAACAAACTAGTCCATTAATAAAGTTAATTTTCTTGGGTATTTTTTTAGAAAAGGAAAATGTAAGGGTGAAATATACGAATGGAATTGATTTAATACTGGTTATAACATTGCCACGTCTCGCTAAGTTGCTCATTATTTAGGATTTTTTTCCAAAGTGAGCCTAATTACAAAACCATTTTGTAAAGTGAACTCGTGGCCAAACTATTTACCAAATTAAGTTTTTAGGGTAAAATCATGTCTCGGACAGCGTTTTATACCCTGGTTTTTTTTTAAAAAAAAATTCAAAGTATGAAATGTTGTCCTATACAGTGTTTTACATGTTGACTTGTTTTTTTTTTTTTAAATTTCGTAATTTCTGATTTTTTTTTATTATGTACTGAATTAAACGCTGTCCTAGACAGCGTTTTTTCTGCTGGACTGCAGTAGCCAGCAGCCTCCCCACTCCAAATTCTACCCCAACATACCACCCCCAGCCTTCAATCAGGCACCACCCTCTAACACCACCCCCACCACCAACCCCAACCGTCCCACCACCGTCGACCACCACCAACCACCACCTCCCACCACTTTTGACCACCCTTAGGCACTTCACAACACTCCAACCACCCTCAACAGCACTACAACCACCCCCACCACCAACCCCAACCTTACCACCACCAACTACCACCTCCTGGGACTTTCGCCCACCCTTAAACACTTCAGAACACTCCAAACACCCCCAACAGCACTACAACCACCATGAACCACCACATTAACCACCACCGGTCATCGCTTCTACTCCATTTCTCATTATGGAGCCCAAATGTCTTGTGTTTGATACATATCGGCCTAGAATGATCTATTTTGACTGACATAAGTCCGATTTGGACAAATAAGGAAATTAAACTTCAAACCACACACAGATTCATTCAAAAAACATTTATTATATTAATAATGTAAGTGTTATATACATCATTCTAGAATATCCGGCTACAGTTAATAATACTATCCCGACTCATTTATTCGGGGTAACGGTTCTCTATCCTGTCTGTTGTCCCTCCGTCTGACACGACGCTGCCTCTAATGAGTAATGGTGGTGAATGGGTCTCGGGGCGGTGGCAGAGTCTGCTGGCTGGACGATGGGTCCTCCTTGGTAGGGGTGGGCGTAGAACTGTGGATGATGTAATCTTTTGCGACTCTAGGTGACGTAGAATCACCTCCACCGTTACTCTGGCCGAACTTGAACTGTGAATGGACGGAGTGGCCATCATGACCGTCCTGCGGGTGGACGAGATAGCCGTGACCATATCTTTGCAAGGTTGCCACGCCCATATCTCGCACTCGCTCGACCTAGGCTCTGGTGGGTCCGTCTGCAAGGGCGTCTGATAGTGCATTAACCATCGCCACCATATCCGCCGCCTGCAGTAATCATCATATCGATCAGTCAGTTGTATGATATAGAAATTTAAAAAGTGATGAAAATAAGTAGATTAAATAAACTCACATATCCGCTAATGACGTCACAAGCTGAATGGTGGGGTGTAGCTGGGGTTGACGAAACGCTGTGTAATACGCCTATACCAGACCATGTATGGATCGTGAGGGTCCATAACGCCCTGGATCGGATCACCTGCAACGACGAACTCCAAATGTCGCTGCCACAGGTCAATGTAAACCCTATGCTCCACTGGCCAGTCTGTCTCCCCCTTTCCCTGACGGTCAATGCCGTGCAGGCGGATACTAGTGTCACACTGCTGGGGGACAGGCTGGCGTAGTCCAAACTGTCTCATGACTCGGTCGGGTAGGTGATTCTTCACAACCTCGAAACATATCATG